TCCGCCTCGCTTCCTCCGTCATGATGTCCACCGTGATACGATACATGCGGTTGTTCCCCCACGAATTTGATCTCGTACAAGTGAAGGAAGTCATTCTTGCAAAATCTCTTCGACAGGGTGACTCCGGTGGAACTTAGAATTTTTGTTTGGTTACATTTGTGGAGGTGGAATCGGGATGGTACAAATTGGAGAAGCATATTTAAGGAAAATATATCTTCGAGGTTTAGTGGTGGCGGAGGATGCGGAGAGGGAAGTGGCAATGGCGGCTGAAATTGACAAAGGGGGACCTGACTGAGTAGGCGGAGCACAGCCTTATGGAGGTTATTAGTGGGAAAAAAATTGGGAATAATGACGGGGGCTGTTTTGGAATTTTAAACGGTGTGAGTTATTTTTTATTTTTTTATTTTTTTTCCCTAAAGAAACCCACAAAACGAAGTCGTTTTGTTGCTGTTTCTCAACCAAAAACTTTAAGGTTTTGTAAATATATTGTTTTCAGGAGTGAGGATTCCAAAGTTAAATCCTGAAACGACATCCTTTATAGGTTAGGGGTTTGTTTTTTTCAAAAGGTTACGGGTTTTTTTAATTGGAATAAACTGAATTTTTAAATTCCCGTTTTTGTCTTTAATAAGTCGCTGACATCACATCAACCCTATCCGATGGACAAGATCGATTTGACGGTGGTCCTTGAATATTTCTTGGACATTATTTCTTGGCTACTGTACCTTTTATTTTAAGTATAAGGATAAGCACCATGGGTTACTCCCCTCATTGTCAATGGTTTTGAGGTAAAATCCCACCGGCTTGTATATGGTATCGGAACGGACTCGGCCTGTGGTGAATTTTAGCCCGCGATGTTGTTCGGTTGCCCGTGATATTATTCAACGATTATTTTCCTGACCCAGCAGTGTATCTGGCGATTTAGTCCAAGCCTGTTAGGCTTGAGGGGGAGTGATCAAATCTCTATTTTTTTTCTTTCACATTAGTATCGTGAGAAACTTTGTATAAATATATAAGCTCCACGACTAATCCCCTTATTGCCAATTGGTTTTGAGGTGTAACCCCATGGGTTTCTATAATAGTATAGCTCATTCAGGAAAAATAACTCTTTTACACATAAAAAGAAATACAAAAAAAAAAGTATAGTACATTCAAATGAGACGGAGGAAGAATAATTATTTCTGCAAAGAAGCTTCCCCAAATGTCCCGGTAATTGTTTCCCAATATTAGTTAGCGCGGCTTAACTAAATTTTAATCAGCTGCCAGCAAAAAGTCTTAGGCTCTATTTGGTTGGATTGAGTTGGACCCAAGAATTAGAATTGGAGGCTTTCAATTCCAATTCTTGTGTTTGGCTGCCAAAAATAGAGGTACCGGAATTAGAATTATAATTCAAGATGAGTCTCAATTCTTTATTTTTAATTCTTTTATGGGATCAAATAATTGCAAATTCTAACTCTAAGGACTTTAGAAAAAAATGTAGGTCACATACCGGTCATTTTCCGGGTTATAAAGAAACGGGTCACTTTTGTGTTTAAGGTTTTTTTTTCTCCCTTCTTCTTCTCCCTTCAGCGTTGTACAACGCTGCTTTTCCTTTTTATTTTTCATTTTCCCCCTTTTCTTTAAGCGCTGGAATTTTATTTTATTTATTTTTCTTTTTTATTATATTAACATATGTTTTTATTCATTGTGCAAATAAGGTGTACATCAATATAATAATTATTAATGAGATCTATACATTAAAATTAGTATGGTATTTTTTTTGACAAAAACTATCAAATGTATAACGATACCCGTAATTTATTAAAAAAATTAAGGGTATTAATTATGGTTAACAGTTTTTTTATCAAATGTATAAATAATTTTTGAACTATACTTGAAATTCTTTTCACAAAAAATTGTGTAAGATTTCAAGAAGTCGAAATATATATTATTCCATATATAACTATATACTAAAAATAAAAATAATTAATTAGTACCATGTATTAATGTTAATCTATACATAAATGAATGGTTTTTACTTTCAACTATATAAAAAATTTCCACTAAAACCCCTAAAAAAAAACTAAAGATTAAAAATTTATAAAATAATAAAAAGGAGAGGAACAAGGATGTTCTACATGTTACTTGCGAGAATTCCAATCATCACATTAATATTCCTTACGTAATAATAATAAAAAAAGTTTTCCACAAGTATGAAAGTATCTAGTAAATTATAAAACTGATATATATATATATATACATATATTAATCATATAACAAAAGTTCTAATATAAATGTACATAATAAATTTATTTATTTTTATCTTATATATGTAAGTAGTATTAAATTGCTTTGATATATAAAATTAAATATTTATTTTTACTCAATGAAATAAAATACTAAGTTATAGTTAGATAATAAAAAACTAATTCTAATTCTAGATTTTATAAATTTATAAGGATCCAAACACAAGAATTGGTATTAGAACCTTAATTCTAGTCAATTCTTAAGCTCTTCCAAACAAAGAAATTATGATTGAATTGTAATCTTATTATCTCATTTTCAATTCAATAGTATTGTAATTGCAATTCAATTACAATTCAATCTAACTAAGCGGAGTCTTAAGAAAGTCATGGATTGAAAACGATAGTTTTTGTAAGTCGCCCGCCCGGATGAACGATTTTGATGCGCGACATATTGATCTCTTGATTTGGACAAATGTTATTGAATTTATCTAATTTTGTTATTTGCATCCGTGGCAGGAAAAATAATTCACTTTAAGTTTTGAAATTTATATTAAAAAATACAAATTTTAAAATTCAATGTGTACTATTATTCTTTCTAGACAAAGAAGAGTGTAATTAATTAGTTTGCTTCTCATAAACATATATTGTTGTCACTAGTTCCAATCATTTTTTTCTCTTTTTGTGTGAAGTGTTTTAACTATGAAAGGTGATGTGGGATTAAGAGCTGACTGGACTATTTGTACAAAATTACTCACTCCATTCACAAGTAGATGTCGTTGGAAGAAAAACTAAATATTCCAAAATAAATGTCGTTATCACAAATCGAGATAAGTTTTGTCAAATTTTTCCAATACTACCCTTACATTTGAAACTGTAATGATATTTAATGTAGAATTGAATTAGAACTAAATGTTATTGAGACTACAATTGTATTAAGAGTAAATGAGGGTATTATAGTATTTTAACAAGATAATTATTGTCCCTTTAAAATTAGTAAAATCTCTCCAGCGACATCTTTTTGTGAATGGAGATAGTATTAATTTGCCGAGAATTTATAAAACGACTTATATTTTGAAAAATCTTTCCAAACCTAAAACGACTTGCGAATTTAGATGGAGGTAGTAATAATTTAGAACACATCTAAACTATTCCCAATAAATCAAGTAGTGTTATAGAGAAGTGGGTAAATGAATTAATGAAAGCGCATTAACTTGACCGGCGCCATTAGAACGGATTGCTATAAATACAGATGGAGCGAGGTAGCTAAAAGAAATCCATAAGCAAAAAGAAAAAAGTAAAACATTGTTAGAGTATCATCCCAAAATTCCATATCTCAGTCAAGTCTCATTTCGATGACTTCCTCAATGATGGTGTTTGTAGTCGCGGCCCTATTTTGTGAGTCTTGATAATCTCTCTCTTTCACCAACATCTCTCTCTTTTTATTATCGTTTTAAAGTATTTTTTCTCGAACTCACCTGATCTCATATGATTTTAGTTTAACAGAATAGATTATATATATATTTATATGTATAAAATTCACGGTTTTTGGAATTCTAATAAATATTTGTACGGGATGCTACTTGTTCTTATTCACGTGGCCTCTTTGGGGATAGGAGAAAAAATAATTGAGTGGTGATTCTACCAAAAAAACATTTAACATTCACAGCAAATCTATGCATCTGACGCTCCGGTCGCAGCCAAAAAATGAAATTTGAAAATTTGTTTTCTTCAAGTTCTAACTGTGCCCTTATATGCTGCAAATCTTCATCATAGCTCTATCACTTAAAAGTCCAATTCCAAGCCAATTTGCTCTCCAAAAATCAGATGTCCACTGTTTTTCAAAGATACACTTCTGTTGCCACATATAAATTTCCCGATGACGCATTCGACTCCAAAAAGGGAAAGAATAAATCCCTTTAATTAGTTCATTATTGACGAATTTTACCCATTGCCTCTATAAGAGCGAGAATCTTCCATCACATTTTACAAGATGCAAGAATATCATCAAAACTTCTCTCTCCCAATCCCATTCTCTTGGGTGGGAAAAGGTACCACTACCAGTCGTTTCAAACTTCGCCAAGGGCCCAAATTTTAAAGATGCCTGGCTAATTTATTACTAAGATAAGTACCACTTTAATTGCTTATCATAAATTTTAAGAGATATATGCTCATTTTTAAAAAGGTAACCAAAAAAAAAGGGCCAAAATCTGAAATCTCTCATCTTCCTCTTCGTTCTTCTTCGTTACTTTCTATCCAGGATAATCTTTTCAAACAACCATTACCGGATTTTATTTTTTTTTTGGTTGGACATCAAAATATGCCCAATGACCTCGAGATTTTTTTTTTCCCTTCCTAAAATAACCTTATTTATCAAACTATTTGTATCCCCCAATCCCTTCAGGACTACCTTTAAACACAAAAACATTCGTTCAATTGAAAGTGTATTTTTTTTTTTTACTACATATTGCAGGACCGTTGGTAACAGTATCCAATCTCCCTCACTCATGGTAGATACCCCAATAAGCGATGGGTTGGAAAGTTTTTATTAAAAGTTTTAAGGTTACTCCAATGTCAGTAGCGAGATTAGAATGGGGAGTATTTACCAGTCCGATTGAAAGTTTGAAACACTGTGCGCGCGCGTGTTTCTCTGTTTGAAACTTCGGAGTTTTTACTGTAGCGAAAATGATAGACGTAATTGGGTTGGGCTAATTATTATGGACAAGTTGAACAGAGCTTTTAATATGTTTGGGCCTTTAATTTAGTGGGTAAGTAATATGGGCTTTCTCCCTCCGGTGCCGACGTCCTCCGTCAGTATTTCAGTTACCGTCCGGACTGAAATTCACACAAAATTATGGCGGCAATAAACAGCAGAACCGGCAGAAGCTTTGCCGGAGGAGGAGCATCAACTCCCTCATGCACACGCACCCACCAGATCGGAGCTCTGGCTCTGGTGATCACTACTTTCTTCCTCACTCGACTCTTCGACCAAAGCTTCTCCCCTTCTTCCTCATTCCCTGGCCATTACACTTCCCTCAGTAACTTCGACGACGCCGTTTCTGTTAGCTCCGGCGGATCCCTTTGTTGGCCGGAAAGAGGTTACGGCACTCGCTTGTCGATAAAGATCTACGTTTATGATGAAAACGAAATCGACGGGCTTAAATTGTTGCTTTATGGCCGGGACGGGAAGATTTCGCCGGAGAGTTGTATTAAAGGGCAATGGGGTACTCAGGTATGTTTGAAATGTAAGGCCAATTGGAAAAGGAATACCTTATTAGTACTTTTGTTATGAATTAAACGTTATAATTTTCCGTTCTGTTTTCTGTTTATGTTGATTTGGGATCTTGATTAGCCTCAGCTCGAGTAGAGGCAAGTCTAGAAAGAACGTTGAAGCCCAATGCTGATAAAACGGTAGCTAAACTAAAAAGATGTTTTCTGGAATGCATTGATTTGATAAGGTTTAGTAGTGACCAGAGTTTGCTTTTCTTAAACACAGGCCAGTTGTAATAAGATTAGTTATTGTGGCTAGTTCTTTGAGTACAGCACAGTGATCACCTTGTAGAATGTTAGTTCATTAAAAGTTACCCAAAATCAGGAACTCGGCATTGCCATTTTAGTGAAAATGGTTAGTGAATGCTGAAGAGAGTTCATTTTGTGTTGCCTTAGTAGCATGCAATTTCCATGGAAGCTGAGAGTATGCCAATAATGGCAATTGCACACGTGCAGTAGTTTGTATGACCATGTAACCAGCCGCCATATGCAGGTCGTATACTCATTCCAGTGTTTGATCTAACTTGGTGATGTGAGACTGCAAGTAAAGAACTTGTGTTTTGGTGTAATTTAGTGTTGATCTGGTAAGTTTTTTGAAATTTGTTTGTGATTTTCCGAAATGTAGTACTCTTATCCAAGTTCCTTAGCCATAAATACCTCTTATCCTTGTGATTTTTGATCTTTCAGAATACCTTTAGCAAGTTCCTGTTACACATACATTTTATATGAAGAATTAAGATGTTTCATGGGTATGGAAAAGCTCTTAACTTTGCATTTTGTTTTTAGAACTTGTGTTGGTGAATCAAACATATAGGAACTTTATTTCGATGTCTATAATTGCAAAATGAGCTTCACCCGCTGTTAGATCCCTTTAGAAGCATGAACTATTTATGATTGAAATATTACTAGATCCAGAAGATAAATAATTTACCATGGTGCAATTTTAAACGTCCAACTAAGCAACGAAATGGTACTCTTAAGCGACTTCCTGCCTTTTACTTTGGGACACTTTTGAGTATCTCATAATGTCTTTAAAGGTTTCTGATGCCTATTTTAGTTGGAGACAGATACATGATGCTTTATGTGACCAAAACACAAGAATACAAAATATGTTTGATGTCATAAACTTGGTTTGAAAGTGATTTTCTGATATCAAACCTCTTAGCTTGATCGTGTTTCTGTTTAAATATTTACAATTTAATTACTGGGGTATGAGAAGCACATAAATGTTATGATGGGACATGAGCTGGTGTAGAATATATTAAATGAATTTATCATTAACTCCTGCCGCAAACTGTGTAGAATATTGTGTAGGGTTCTTTTCCTCTATTGGGGAACAAATTAGGGTAATTGTTTTTCTAATCTGCATAAGAAGGAAGTGGTTTACTTGATGTGATTCAAATATTACAGGTTCGTTGTACCCCATGAAGAATGAGGGATTAATCTGTATTTTTGTTCTATTTTGTTTGCTCTGCTTATATGGTGCTCTACACTTCTAAAATGCTTGTGTTGTAATCATTATGCTTCTGCTTTTCGGGTGCTTCTTTTTCTTTATCCTCTGACATTTGTTTTCTGTTGGCTGTAGGTTAAAATACACAAGATGCTTTTACAATCAAGGTTCCGTACCAGAAAGAAAGAGGAAGCTGATTTGTTCTTCGTCCCAGCTTATGTCAAATGTGTTCGGATGATGGGGGGCCTAAGTGACAAAGAAATTAACCTAACTTATGTGAAGGTTGTTCAGCATCTCATCTCGCTTCAAGCTTGACTTAGTAATTGAACACGGGCAAAGAGGACTTCCACAGTTCTACAACTTTATTTGGGAACTTCCAGCTTTACCTGTCACTACATTGTTCTGTTCTCTCAGAGAACAGTGATTTTATTTCCGATCTCTGAATACATTTTTTATCTCAGGTACTTAGTCAGATGCCACATTTTAGGTTGTCAGGGGGGCGTAACCATGTATTTATTTTCCCAAGGTATTGATGCTTTACTGTTACTGACTGCCATTAATCAGATGTTACTGGATCTGCATTATTCTACAAATAAGATGGACTTTGACAATTATATGTTGAGTGCAAAAGAAAGCATAAAGGAACCAACTCATTATCTTTTTCCTTGAGAGAGTGGATCTTGATGTCTTTTTTGTTCAAGCATCACCAGCCATCTAATGTGTTAGGTTTATTGGAGAAGGGAGAGGATTCTCTCACGTCTATTACTTGCATGATGTTTAGGATGTACAGCTGAATTGATTCTCTTTTCTCCTTTAAAAAATCTTACCATTCTTTCATGCGGTTGGAAGGGTTAAGTTACATTTGCCTGATATTTGGGTGTCCTTTCTTTGCTATATTCTACTTTTGTGCACTTATTCCCTCCATTAGTCCTAACTTTTCTGTTGCTTAACCGCTACTTCCTTTACAGTGGCGCTGGAGCTCACATATTCAAGTCCTGGGCTACATATTTGAACCGTTCGATAATTCTTACACCGGAGGTACATCAGATATATTTACTTGCCTAGGACAGAGATACTTTTACGACATGAAAAAATGAGAAGAGTGCTCATAAAGTTGTTACATGCTGCAAAATTTTGCTCTAAAATGTGGTCATGTTGAATTTTTGGCAGTCTGCTATCAATTTGTAACAGTTACAGTTGCTCTTCTGCAAGTGCAGGGAGACAGGACTGATAAACGAGATACCAGTGCTTTCAATACATGGAAAGATATTATTATTCCTGGAAATGTTGAAGATGGAATGACTACTCATGGGGCTAAACTTGTTGAGCCTTTACCTTTAGCAAAGAGGAAGCATTTAGCGAATTTTCTTGGCCGAGCACAGGGAAAAGTTGGTCGCCTTCAGTTGATAGAGCTTACCAAGCAATTTCCAGATAAGGTATGTTTCTTCCTTGCCATAAATGATTGTTATTATTAGAATTTTCCTAGTCCTTTTGAATAGTTGGATTTGGTTAGTGATATATAGGTTTTGGATTTAGCATGAAACCATTAACATGTGAATTATGTTGGTTCGGACGATATTCTCTTCGTCATAACCATGAAAAAGAACTGAAAAAGTTGTTGAACCTTGTCCTTGTCATTGCTTCGTCTCTTCAAAAGCCAGTATGTCCGGTTAATGTTCGGTGCTTGTGTGCTTAGACTTTGAAATTGGAGTTTCAGCTTTGGCCATTTTGTTAGTTGTTGGTCATACTCATGCGCTGAAGTATAAGGAAAAAACTTAAATTTTTACTTGGAAAGTGATTGCAGTATCTCTTACAGTAACTTTCCTTCTTACTGGCCTTGTGGCTTGTTCTTGGAAATGCCTTGCTAAAAGTTGCTATCAAAATAACATAAGATCCATTTGATACTGGTGCAGTGATGCTTGCTTGCTTGTACTGTTTTCTTTTGTGATGCTTGCTTGTTTGCTTGTACTGTTCTCTTTTGGGTTTTCCAAAAAGTGTTGGTGCTCATTTTGTGAACAGTTGGAATCTCCAGAGTTGAAGTTCAGTGGTCCAGAAAAACTTGGAAAGGCAGAATATTTTAAACACCTCCGCAATGCGAAGTTCTGTTTAGCTCCGCGTGGGGAGTCATCATGGACTCTTCGCTTTTATGAGTCCTTCTTTGTGGTTGGTTCCATTCCTTTGATTGATATGTTAACAGGAACATGTTCCCCTTCAAGAGACATGCTTATGAATATTCATTCTGAAACAGGAGTGTGTGCCTGTCATTCTATCAGATCAAGTGGAGTTGCCTTTTCAGAATGTTGTTGACTACACCCAGATATCAATTAAATGGCCGTCTACACGAATAGGTGCCGAATTGTTGGAGTATTTAGAATCAATTCCTGGTAAGTCTACTATTTTCTTTGCTTCTCATTCATCCTTGAGATTTTTACTCCGTCAAAATCAATGCTAACAACACCTAACTTGCTGGTCAGACAAAAACATTGAAGAGATGATAGCTCGGGGAAGGCAAGTAAGATGCTTATGGTCTTATGCTCCTGAAACTGAGTCATGTTCTGCATTCAATGCAATCATGTGGGAACTTCAGAAGAAAGTGAGGCAGTTCCACCAGTCATCTGAGACATTCTGGCTACATAACAGAACCATAGTCAATAGGAATTTGGTGGAATTCAGCAAGTGGAAACCTCCAATGCCTCTTCCCTAAGTGAATGAATGTCTGTCGATAATGCCAGATTTTAGCAGGATTCACTACTCATGTTGTAAGCATTTTTTGGTTATACTCGAGAAGAAAGCAGCATCCCAGTGTATAGACAATCATTAGTCTGATGATGAATTCCATTAATTTGCCGATGTTATTCTTCCTATAGTTGAGGGAGTAGCTCCTCACCACTACGTACAGTTTTTGCCCCTCTATTCATTAAGTATTTGGTAATATTTACTCACTACTTCCCTTAAGTCAATGCACTTAGCAACTGATGGGATGTAAAACCACATTTTTGTAGCATCAGGTGAGCATGCAACAAGAGTTGGGAAAATCAGAATGCATTTGGTCTATGATTCAACCACTCTTATCACAAGTTGGAAGCTGCTCAACGTCCCGCGGAAATACACTGTAAGGTGGAGTAAAAGAAATTACATAAAGTAAATGCAAAAGATAATGACTGCACTACAACTTCAAAAATGTTTTTCACATTAGAAACTCTTCTACAAACCACCACATGATTCTCTTTTTCTTCTTCGAATGTAATACTACACAATGTCAAACTCAAATGTGAACCAAAATTTACATCGTACATCATGTTTTGAACATGAGTAAGAAATGATCAACCGCAATGTGATACATAAGATACAAAAAGATCTCACCAATTCAATGTTCTAATCCTGTCTATTGTACATAGTTCCGAGATGGAATTCCTCAAGCTCATCTTCACAAAGCACTCAAAACAATAATCAAATCGAATGAAATCAAATCAAATGAAATCAAACACAAAACTTGATGGCCACATTGGCCCTTGAGACAGGATATTGTTCCGTTGCAGCATCTGACCCTTCAGCTCTGACTCCACCTGCAGCTCCTAATATAATATGGAGGTAAAAGAAAGGTAGATAGTCATTAAGCGAGACAATGGCTGGGACGACTTAATAACATTTTAAAACCGAGACACTGGCTGGGACAACTTAATGACACCTTAAGAACTAGCTCTTCAAACTGCGAAATACGTATGATAAAAAACATTAACCGGACCACAAAGATAATCAAGAAAATGCAAAATCAAGTCCCAATACCAAAACATGATCAATTATTGTTCCAATGATTCAGGCAAATTAGAAGTGAAAAAAATATCTTAATGATGCTAGCTCTGAATAAAGGTCATGCCCATTCCAAACTCTAGAACATAACCTTATGCAGAATGTCAATCTGCACACAATGTTTTACTCAAAACAAAGGCCAGTTTCTTATACTCGTATAGACACTGCCTGAAACAAAAACGTGAAATGGTAACTATAAAAAGTTTGATTCCATGAGACATAAAGACAAAGACACGGAGCCTCAACTGAAGATGGAAAGGCTTGTCATTTTCAGATTCTATCATGTCCAACTTCACATTAATCCTTCCAATCTCACTAATGAAATTTTGGTGCAAGGAACAATTGAGTCACCAAATTGGAATGAGCGATAACACAATCAGATCACTTCACATCTTTCCTCAATTGAATCTCAATGGGAAATTCAACGAATACCTACAACCATTACTTAATGTCTCATTACAAACTGCGCCAAACATCAGAACAAGATGATGAACCTTTTTATTCACATAGGTGATAAGCAAAGAAAATAAAATTGCAAAACAGCTTTCTCCACTCATAATGAACGAGAAGACATTCAAAGATTAGGGATCACATCAAAATCAAGTCATAATCTGCATGTACCAAAATCAGGGGGGGAAAAAGTCAAACCACTAAAGTAAAACATAGAACAAAGGTCAATTTGAGGCGCCATGAAACACATGCATGTAGAGGGAAACAAGAGACATGCAAACCTTATACTTTGGACAATCACTCTCGAACATCAATACACCTATCCCTAGAACACTTATAGTTACTACATTCATTGGGAGAATAGCCGAGGAAAATGATTGGAAAGAATGTTCCACTGCTTTCCAATTATGCCTAAAACTAAATGTCAAAGAAACCAATTCTCGCTCTTCATGGAAGAAAAAAAGAAGCAGAGAAACTTGATTGGTAGTTTCAACTACAGATGGAATTGCAGGTCACTGACATAAGGTGAAATGAACAGAAACTAAATGTAAAAACAACGCAAGATGAGAACGATAACATAAACGATAAAGCCAAAAAGGTGACAACTGAAACATGTTAATTCATCTTGAACGACCTAACAATGAAGTTCCAGAAACAAGGCAGATTATTCAAGAAGAGTTGAAGTGGTAATGACGGTGAGAAACAGACAGAAGTGATGTAGGAAGATAACGTGAAGGAGAAAGAAAAAAGAAAGGAAATGGAATAGAAGGGGCATAACATGGAAAAAAGAAAAGGAAAGAGAGGGGGGGAGGGGAGAGAGAGTGGGGGTGTGGGGGTTGTTGGGGGAGGATGTGTAGTCCAATTACTCAAACCCATTAAATAAGTTGGGGTTGGAGGTCACCAAAAGACATTGGTTTCCTTCACTATGCCCCAGATCCAAAGATATGAACCAAGCAAGTAAAAATGAAATACAAGTGGTAAACCCAAGCACACCCAAATAGTTCCAAGTTTTGTTTTTTATGATTAAGTTTCTGTTCAGGGACATTAATATACATCTGTAAAGTACTAATGCAAGATGTTGTGACAAGAGTAACATACATTTTTCAGTAATTCAAAAATTAACCGTTCTACTTTGTCACTAGCACGTTCAGTTTGGCATCAAGGCCACCAAGCAACTCAGAGAATTGAACAATCTACAATACATCAATAATATCGCCATCTCAATTCAGGAACTTTCAATATATGGATCATGTCCCCTTAATAAAGATTCAATGCATTCTACATCTAGAAATCACTTTTATGTCCCCTGTATTCCACATATTCTTTATTTCAACATAAGTGACACTGATCAATGACAACCAATCACTGTGGCAAGGTAATTTTCCTTTAAAAAAAGAAGGAGAAGAAGCAAAACTGATCAAAGAAAGGTATGGAAATGAATAGACAGATGTACATACTACAAGTGATGTAATACAAAGGAAAAGACACTGGCATCCAAGTAATACTAACCTGGACTCTGAAGTCTGATGTTCCACGGAAGATGATGTTTCATCCGGACTTGTCCAAGAAAACCAAGTCTTCACCTTTTTCAGCTACAGAACTCTCTTCAGAAGCTGATTTATCCTGAACAGGAATATGCTTTTCCTCCTGTATGGGTTGAAATTCCATTTCATCATGCAAGTCAGATGACATAGCATCAGCCGCTAATTTTTCACTTTGACTGTTAGAGACTTCATCAGCCCCTGAACTGGTAAATCTCGCTGTAGTGCTGTCACTTGACTCCATAGACATAGATCCAGATTGAGTTGCATCAATTGAATGAAGTATCAATCGTGACCCATCCAACTCACCAGAAGAATTCCCTTCCATTTCTTGCCCGCAAGATCCCAGTTCAGCCTCAGCAGAAGCGGTTGTCTTTATCAGCATAGGCTGAATCTCCCTTTTATCATGCATGTCAGATATCATATCATCAGCCACCACTGTCCTGATTTCACTGTTAGAGACTCGATCATCTCCTGAATTACTAAATCTTGCTATATTGTTGTCACTTGACTCCATCGACATAAATCCAGATTGATTTGCATCTATTGTATGAAATACCAACCCTGACCCATCAACATCACCTGAAGTATTCCCCTTTATATCTTGCCCACAAGATCCCGATTCACCCTCCTCAGAAGTGACTGCTGTCTTTATCAGTATAGGTTCAGTTTCCATTTCATCTTGTAAGTCTGGTGATAAAGATGATAAAGAAAGCTTATTCTTATTCGCTGTGGGGCTCGAATCATAAATAGGTTCCTTCTGTGAACTTTCACTTGAGATACTGTAATTGGACTCTTCAAGTGAAAGATCAGCAACAATGCTAGCATCTTGGACAGCATGATCTCTTGTTTCTTCTAAACATGACAATTCTTCCCCTTCTCTCACTGGAAATATTCTCTCACTTAATTCTGATAATGGCGATGAGCTCGAAGTAAGAATATCTTGCTTAGTAGCTTCATCATTTAAATTAGTTTCAGTTACAGTGACGTTCATAGAACCAGAAATTTCTGCTTCCATAAACAAAGGTGCTTCAGCTCCATTATCACATTCCAATCGATGCGATTCAGTTTCCTCCTCATTTGATTCAACATCCCTCTTCTCAAATTCACCCAATTCCAAGGAATCAGCTTCTTCAGAGGTTTGACTTCCATGTCCAACATGCTCTGAAACATGCTCTATGTCACTAATAAGCTCTTGTTCTTGAGGAATATCAACTGGATTAGAACCAGTATCATCTTTCATTGAGATGGTGTTCAATTCATGATCTATATCTTCTTCAGAGGCATTCCCATAATTTAGATCTCCAGCAGTTTCCCTAAGCTCTACCTCCGGAAAAGAATTCAGAGGCTCATCCAAGAGAGGACTATTTCCTTCAAAACGGTGCTTCTCTTCATTATCTCCAGCCGAAGCTGCCGACTCTGATTCAGGAAGAGAACTTGCCTTGGAGTCACTAAGTCCACTAGATTGTCGTTGAAATGATGAATAGCCTATTCCTTCTGAGTCCATCTTTTCTGCAACAAAGTAAGGTCTCAACCTACCATCCTGTTGCCTGCTAGGTGCAAAAAATGAGGGCCCTATGTTAAAACTTTCATGCCTTCGGAAAAAAGGCTCTCTTGGTGGAGCTCCTGTAAACTCTTGGTGGAAATTGTCTCCCAAAAGATCAGGTTTTTCTTCACTGGAGTCATATGGTAGATCAAAAGGATTTCTCCTGGCTAGTAAAATAGATGGAGCAGAGCCAGGTATTGGAGGCAGTCCCATATCATCATAGGAATCATGGGGAAGGTCAAACGGATTGTTCCTTGCAGTCGAAATTGGAGCAATGCTGAAAGGAAGTTCAGCGCTATCCAAGTCTATCAGATTCCTTTCAGCCATAATGTTCATGGTTTTTCGTGCCCTCCTTCTAGCTATAAGGCTCTCCAACCGCTGATTCCGTTCAAGTTCTGAGGTTCCCAGATCCATGAGATTCTTTTGATCCTCTTCCGTCCATGTAATAGCAGATTTTGTCTCGCCTTCTAGGGGACCTTGCCCTTCATCCTCATCATCAGCATCTTCAATATCTTCGTCAGCAACTTCCAACAGTTCATCCTTTCCAAGGTTATCATCTGAATCACTACTACTGTCAGTGGATTCGAGAGAACCTTCTGAAGCAGCATCAGAGCCGTCATGTGACAGTGGGGCAGGATGGGGAGTATCCTCATCTAAAAGAGGGTGGAGTTCATCAAGCATGGGCATAATGTCAGCCATGGAAGCATCAGGAGAGGAACTTTCAGCCCGATCAGACCCAGAATCCATATCCTCGTCATCTTCCGCATCTTCTTCTTCTTGGTATTCTTCTTTCATGTGTTTCCAAGGTGAGTCAGGAGGGGAATCTAGAGAATCCACATTAACCATTTCCGAATCAAATGATTCAGCTGGTGATCTGTCATTAAGATCCTCATCGTCAGTCCTAGCATCACCTTCATCACCAAGTCTCTCATTGTTGACATCAGTTTTCTGTGTCCATCCACTGACATGATTCTTTGTTGCTTCGGCAACTACCTCATCATTGGGTTCTGAACCCCGAGGAAATTCCTCAACAAGTGGGACATTGGAATCAATACTATCAGCCCTATGAAGCTCAATGGACCTACTAGCAATTGATACTGCAACACCATTTAACTGTTCCACTAGACCTCCAGTTGACTCATTAAACTTTTCTACAGTATAGATCTCATTATTGCGAGTAACAACCGTATCTCCTGATACCCCAGTTTTCAAAGTATCAATGCTGTGGGTGTTCTTTTCATCTATATCAATTTCAGGTATGTTCGGTTGCCCAAAACTCAAAAGCGTCCCAAGCAACACAGCAGTGGATATGAGAACAGGGAAGGCAGATACCAATAGAGAAAACACAAACGGAGATGATCGATACAAAAACACTAAAAAGAACAGCACACCAACAAGAAATGGATGACAGGAAACTGATCTATAACATCTTACTGTAGCAGATTTCAATAGTTTCCTCATTTTAGTAATCGTCTCCAACACTTCACTACCCATTTCTCCCACTGTCGAAATTGTCCCTCACAATCGTCAAGAATCAAATTCACAAAGAGCCCATTAGCCGTAAAAAATATTCCGCGAACTCATAGAACAGATGGAGCCAACTATTCATGAATGACTTTTGCAGATGTATCTTCCTGAATGCAATTTGTACAAGCAATCAGCGGTAATCAATCTAAATCATGTTTTGTACCAAATATCAAGTGAAAGACACCGATCATGCCAAACATTTTCAGATTTCAACCAGGATGTAATCAAAGGGAAACGACATTACTGTGCAAGTAGAGGATAACAGAAACCAAAGGAGAAAGTTATTTGGAACTGCCACGGTCGAGGATGAAGGGGGTGATCTACCCCTTCCGGGCTACTTTTTCTAAGCAAAGGAAAATACTGCAGAATCCAAACCAACCGAAAATCACAATATAATAATGAATGATATTCTGGGGAAAATTTTGCAAAGTCAACTCACTAAAAATGATCTACGACATGATCTAATTGCATTATATGTAGCATAAAGCTTCAACAGACAACAAAAGGTACTGATAAGTTTAAAAGGAAAAACATTGACAGGTGCAGTGTATTTTTGGCAAGTAATTCAAGTAAAATTACAAGCCGAGAGCTAGATTAGCATACCTTCAGAAGCCTTGAAGCAACCTAAGTCTCAGAAATCCAACCAGTGACATCAACAAGAAGCTGCAGCAACTACAAAGTATAAAAATCCAACCATATAACAAAATATTACAGCTAGGATCAGCTAGTTTATGAACTTGTTCCTGTCAATTATTAAACGAATTTTTCCCCATACAAAGAGAAATGCAAAAACAGTGTCATCGTCATCATTAATCACCTGGGATACCCTCAATTAGTCCACCCGGAAAACCCTAATTTTTAACTTCAAAAAAGATCAGGGCATTGATGATCAACGACACGAAAAAAACCCAGAACGCAAATTTCCATTATTCATCTTAGGAAAAAAAAGACAACGACATTGAAACATATTGCTACCAAAGAACATATGTAAAAGTAAAAAAATAAACCAGTATCAGATGGCACATTCTGATTGCAAATGAAGTCTTCCCCCAATTCCTAAATTACAAAGATGAAAACATAAACAACGCAAACAAAAAGCTTTAAAAAACAAGACCACAAGAAGATTGTGAATGTAAAAGGAGCTTACACATGAAGTGCTGACATCAACTGAGAATTTGATAAGAGATGGAAGCAATATGAAGTTGCAGGGGATTGAAAGATTGAGACTTTGTGAGTTGGGTCAGTGATCGAAATCTGGAAATGGGAAAAAAGACCCAACTCAAAAAAAAAAGGTTAGAGCGAGAAAAAGAGGGAAACTTTAGAGAGAGAAAAAGGAGAGATTGTCATTTGACGATGTAGTTTGAAAGGGATTTTTATAATTAAAATAATTAAAAAGCGAGAAGGAAACATAAATTTTATTCAAAAGTTAGAATAAATAAATAGGAGTAGATCTGTTTTTAGCCCCCCTTTACATTTGGATGAGTTTTTTTTCGACACTGCTTCAATAAATAATAAAATATTTTTTCCATTATTGTTCGTTCAAAAAAATATTTAAAATTTAAGAAAATCTACTAACACTACATCTAGGCGTTACTTGGATTAAATGCAAAAGTTAATGAGTGCTCTCGAACAAATACTCTTTTGTTTCAAAATAATTATATAGTTTAAATTTTCAATTTTAGTTCGAGACAGATGGAATTCGTACTAATTCTATTCTCTAGATAGTGTGTATACGATGTGTTACATAAAAATTGATATGTAATATTTATCTTTTAAGGAAACTATTAAGTTCATCTTTTTTTTAAAAAAAAAAATTAAACAGAGTGAATACGATTTGATTTAAACGAAGATATTATTTCGATATTAATATACGATTTGACTCCCAGAGTGATACTAATATTACTACTTTGATTATTTGGGATCAATCATGATCTATTGATCTTATTCGATACATATTAATGTTAATGTGTTCAACATATAATACATATTTGTTATTATATGTAATTAAGAGATTAATATTATTTGAGATCAAACATGATTTCATATATGACAAATGTGTTTAAGCATGATATTATCTAATAACTTATAGACGTAAGAGCAATGAGGAAGGATTAAGAGAGTAGGATATTGCTGTTATACGTGGTCGGCATTCGAAAACTTCATTAGGACAATCTATTTGTTCAAAAGAGAAAAAGTACATGAGTAGGTTATGTTTAGATTGATTGGACTCAACAAACTAATTGAATTTTCACGAATATAGAAACCACTATCCTAGCTTTTGTGTCCCTTCATTTGGCACGATTAAGAGAAAAAAACAATAATAATAAAACTTTCTTAGTACAAAGAATAAACATGTATTAGGTGAAGATAAGATTAGTATGGTCGTTAATGACGAAATGTGGTTTTTGAATAGCCCTTCTTTGTCACGTTTCAATGGTTCCATCATCCCTAATTGGCATGCCTTCAAATTGACTTCTCCATTGCCTAGTGAGACAACAAGCTTTTCCAGTAATGTAAAAGATCCTAATAATGCTATTGACCAATATAATTTGTCAAAAAAATCATGTTCCTTCCGTTTTAAAATAAGTATCATGTTTATTATGTCAGTTCAAGGATACGCGACTATATAACTAAAAATACGTCATGGTTAAGAATTTAATTCTTTACTAAAATTAAGGTGCTTGATTGTTCATATTTCAAGTTTTTCCTCTGGCGCGCCTCAAAGAACAAAGGCCCGAAAATTAAATATCCTTCTAGTTTCTTCAATCTTTTTTTGTTTTAATCCCCCTTTTTCCAATTTTAGTTGTAGTAGAGGAATTACACCAAATGTTCGTTGATCGTCTAAACAAATACTGGTAGTAACAAAATCATTGGCCACCGAAATTAAGAATTCCTTTGTTATTTTTTTGTCTCAAAATGATAATCCAATTTATTTAAATTGAATAATTATTTTAAGATGGAATATAGTATATACTAAAAGGGAGTATATTCTACCATCGTTTTCTAATCATTGAGTTTCTTTGTTGATGGAATATTTCAGCCTTTTCCAAAAAAAAAAAAAAAGAATATTTCTGCATTTCCTTTATTTATTTTTTTATTTTTTTAAAAAAAGTCACGTTTATTTTCCATTAACACCAAAAATCACCCTTTTCTTTCATTTCACCCTTTCTCGTAAGGTCAAGTTCAGAAACTTAGAATACATATCGAGAACGATATCTATGCGACATGTACTTTCTTCTTTCTTTAATTTGAATCTTTCTTGTGAAAAATGTGGACCGGATATATTTCGTGGATGATGTTTTATAAATAATGATATATATACAGTAGTAATGTCGAATATAGATACAATTAATTATAATTTCTATGAAAAATTAAGACTCTTGCAGTTGAATCATTTACTACAGTACTAGAGTCAGAACATTGACGAATGACGAGCCTTCAAAATCATTCGAAACATTCGATTAAGAAAAAGAGACAATCAAACATATTTGAATTATTTCATTCTTTTTTAAAAAAGTACTTCCTCCGTCCCAAAAGAAATAGTCCACATTGAATTTTGAGTTTTATATTATTTTTAATACAAATTTAAAATTTCAATGCAGATTATTTTTGTGGGACGGAGGTAGTACTTAATTAGCTGGTTCTCGAAATCAATAGAACATACTCGCATACTAATAATAATGCAAGTTAGGTCGAAGCGGGGAACATTCGCCACCTTTATTCTTTTTCATGCAATAGGGAAGGTTCACTATATATACCTAATTGTAAAATGAGGGCCAAATGGATGAAGGTAATGGCACTCTCTGGATATTAAAACTTCTATTTCTATAAATTTAGCCTGTGCATTCACCTAAATCGACCATAATGTAATTTCAGTGAAGACACATCATCATAATTTTATTTTTTCATTTGTTTACAATTCTCTCTTGTATTGGCGTTAATTTGTTGGAACTTCAATAACAAAAACAGAATGATTGTTTCTTTCTTTTTCTTTTAAGAGATTGAAAACAGCCATATTTAGAAGTTCCAAATGATGTTGATATCAGTTTTTGCTTGGGAGAATGATAATATATATATATATATATATGTATGTATATTATTTCGGAAAAACAAATCTAGCCTGCATTTGAGAAAAAAAAATAATTCTTGATTAATTCAATAAAACATGATTCTTATTTTGATGCGGGGATAGTATAGGTGCGGAACAATATAATAATAGTCATCTCTGCCGTTATGAAAAATAAAAATAAAAATAAAAAAATTGAAAGCTAACAAGAATTCAATATATTCTTATACTTATCGAGAAAATTCCTTCACGTTTCCTTTTACATAACAGAAGGAAAATACTCGTCATGCTTCGAAGTGATTTGTGAATGTGACATTATAACCGATTAATGCTGGAAACTAACAGAAATGCACAATCGGAACTCAAACACAGTGACGCAGATATGCCATAACTGAGAATGATAAAGACATTGTTCTCGTAACAAAAAATAAACAACAGAAAGATAAGGATATTACATGGAAGCCCATGAATTTTATTTACTCGCAAGGCAAAGTTCGTTATTCTCTTTATGTCAAAATAACACGATTTATGATAATAGTGTTATACCTTTATTTTTAGGGTAAATTAGATACATAGTCCCTTTATTGATTAGAAACATAACTTCTTGTCCTTGTTTCTCTTGTCAATTCACTTATGAATCTAGCTATTAGAATAGTCTCATGTCACAAATATGTGAATAAATGTGTGGTTATATAAACTTGGTCCATTTGATCAAAGAAAAGTGAGAAATCATTCAACATTAAATAACTGCTAATTTTTAACTAAACTTGCCCTAAATATATGATTTCGACTAAATGACTCGATTAATTGGAGTCGATTGAATCAAATAACTGAATTGATTTTAAATTTAGGGACCCAAAACGTACTACCTCTAAGTAAAGAGACCATCTAGGCAAGTTACCATTTCATAATTTTTTTTTTCTATTTTTATTTTGTAGCTTCCTTTCTATATATAACCTCTTCTTCTCATTCGCTGATTCTTGCCACCTTACCAGAGGTATTCATCACTCTACCAGCGTCACTCCACCGCTTGTTTTCTTGTTTTATTATTTATCCTCCCAAGAAAAATTATATCCTCCTTTGGATAAACACACAGTTATATATATATATATATATATACTTACAACTTTTAAAGTACCTAGTAAGTCTTCAATTGCCATTTTTGAAGCCTTAGGTGATCTGGGATTTCTTCCTTTCTTAGTGTTCTTTATTGACATTGATTAGATTCATAAGGTAAAGGGGAGATCTTGGACACCATGGTTAATGTTTTGCACACCGTTTTTGGAGTTCTTGGTAAGTATAATTTTTCTCTCTTTTTAATTCAAGTGTATGAGGCTTCATTTTTCCATTGTTGTTTGGTTTCCGTTTTGTGATTGATTTTTTACTCATCTCTTGTTCTCTAACAGGAAATGCTTTTGGTTTGTTTCTGTTCCTGGCCCCAACGTAAGAATTTTCTAGTACAACACACGCTTCAAAAGTTATAATAACTCTCCTTTTTCCGTTGAAACGAAAGCTAACCATGTTTGTTGAACTGTACAATAAACGTGACTTTTTTTTTTAGAAAAAAAAATATGGAAAAAGAGCTAGTTAATTATTTGTGATTCATGATTTTATTAATTGGTGTCATAGGATTACGTTCAAGAGGATTGTGATCAAAAGGTCCACTGAGCAGTTCTCCGGGATACCTTATGTGATGACATTGCTCAATTGCTTGCTTTCTGCATGGTAAGACCAATTAGTTAATTACAATCTGAATTTGCTTTCACCATCCATATGCTTTTCTTTCTTTTCCTAATAATCTCTGGAATTTTTTTGTTATTTTTTTGCTAGAAATTTCGTTTAATTAGCTAATCGCTCATGTGGATCTTTAATTTCATGGGGTGATTTGTAAAAAATAAAAAAGTAAAAACAAATTGGAGGTCAGAAATGTACATAGTTGAAATAATTTAGTGAATGTGGAGGTGGTTTGTTGTAAATATTTCTATTGGCACTTTTTGGCCGAAGAAAACAACTTTTGCCGCTCCTCCGACCTGAAAACCAGCTAGCAAACACACGTTATCTATTTTCGTTAGGTACAGTTGTTTAAAGAGGTACGTTTTGTGCACGTTAGCATGTCTAATGATTGTACGACAATAAGACGTTATAATAGATCACGAGTTTGAATCATTAATAAGTAAAAACTTATTACTATAAATAGAGATTCAAAAATATAATCGTATCAATTTGGTCACGATTTTTATAAATTCTGTTGAACAGCGTGTAATGTGTCTTAGCTAGTTATGTAATAACAGATGGATAATTAATTGGACAATTTCATATTTGGTCCTAAATTGATGATGAATTCCTCTTGAAGAAAAATAATCAGAGTGATCTCTGATACCATTTGACAGTGTCTATGACTTTTTCATTTTCCATTACTTGATTACTTTCTTCGCCTCTTGGAAAATTTGTCTATAGGACAAGAAATTAGACTCCTTGCTATCTTGAAAATGCGTAAATAATTCTCAAAAGATTTAGTAAACTATAGTTCTGATCAAACAATATGAATTTTTGTAGTTCCACAGAAAGTTAATTACGCACTCAAATTCAGAAATGATACAATTTGTCAAATGTAAAGAGAATCTTTCATTTTCGCGAGAGTGAATTTTTATATATTCATTTAGATATGTGTAAATTTAGAATTTAATTGGCAAGTTACGTACAATGGTGTTTCATATATAAAACCTTTTCTTCTAATAATAAATAAATTTGCTTATTGAATTTTTATTTTCCCTTGGGAAAAACCACAAAATTAATCAGGTACGGATTGCCTTTTGTTTCACCAAACAACATATTGGTGACGATCATCAATGGAGCAGGGGCAGGAATTGAAACAATTTACGTGTTGATTTTCATATTATTTGCACCCAAGAGGGAGAAAGCCAAGATTTCGGGGCTCCTTGCTCTCATCCTTAGTGTATTTGGAGCAGTTGTTTTGATCTCAATGTTGGCTCTCCATGGAAATGGAAGGAAGCTTTTCTGTGGTTCTGCCGCCACAATCTTCTCAATTATTATGTACGCTTCGCCTCTGTCGATTATGGTAAGTTCTCAATTTCGCTTCGTATGATCTTGTATGTCACTCTCTCGTTCACTTTGAATTTTTGAGATTGAACTAAAATCAGTATAAAATTGAAAACTTAATGTAAACTATTTTTTAGAACATAAATAATCTTACGTTAGAAAAATCGGTGACATCAATTTATGAACTATTTCATCCTATGAATTCAATCTCAAAAGGATCAACACAAGTAAGATGTTTTGTGTTAAAACAAATGCAGAGGATGGTGATTAAGACAAAAAGCGTGGAGTATATGCCATTCTTCTTGTCCCTCTTTGTATTTCTTTGTGGCACTTCGTGGTTCATTTATGGGCTCATTGGAAGGGATCCTTTCCTAGCTGTAAGTCTAAATTTTCCTACTTTACATCTCTACTGAGCTTTTTTGTTTTTTTTTTCTTCTTTTGCGAGATATAAGTTACTTGTTTAACATAAAATGGTACTATACTTCGTTCAAATGTGCAAATTTATAGCATGGTTGTCGAAGATCAATCATTTCTGGCTTTCATTCACGTTTCATAATGATCTATTGATTTTTGTGTTTTAACAAAAATGTGAATGATTTCTGGTTATCCCTTTGGATATAATGAATCTATTTTTCTCCCCTTGATGTATTAATAAATAATATTCAAACTGGACAATAATTATGGGACGGAGGGAGTAATAATAATAATAAAAAGTCACTTCTAGGTTTTGTCAAAATGTGTATCAGACCAAACAAGTTCTTGTGTCCTCATATACAAGTTAATTTTGCTCTTCTAAAAATTAACACTCAACGCAGTTTATCAGGATGCATGTTTTTTCCACTATATAAAATAAAATTGCCAAAAAAAAAAAGGGTACTAAAACCTTTTCTTTTTCTTTTTTGTTTTTGTTGACAGATACCAAATGGGTTTGGATGTGGGTTGGGAACAATGCAGCTGATATTGTATGCCATTTATCGCAAAAACAAAGGAGAAATAACTCACAAAGGCGTCACAGATGAATCTTTGGAGATGGGGACGAAGAATCAAGAGAATAACTAGAAGAATGAAGATTTTTAGTAAATTTTTTCTAATTATGTTTGGACAAACTTTTTCGGTGCCAAATTTCACCAAATTTTTCTGCGAGTTCTCTCGTCAACTAAGTCGATTGAAATCATTTCAATATGTAGTCTCCCCAGCACAACTCATATGTTCCTATTCTTAGATGGAGAGTTTAATTTATCATTTTATTGTTGACAATAATATTGTCATCGTTCTTTCTTCTTCTTTAATTCTTTTTTTTTTTTGTCTCTTTTTTTGTGTTTTCTTTACCAAATATAACTTGTACGTGTTGATATAAATTAGTAATATTACGACATGTGTGACTCATATAATTATCAGAAAGTGGGCTAAATAGTACTCCCTTCGTCCTATAATTATAGTTCAGTATGGGTTTTCATTTTTAGTTCAAATTGTACTAAAAGTGAGAAATCTCAAACTGGATAATAATTTTAGGACAGAGAAAATATAATGTACATGATTCTCGTATCAAAATATTCGATTTAGTTTAATATTCAAAGAGGATGTTTTTATTTTTGGGTCGATTACTGCTTTAAAGCAGCATACATGAATTTCGGATTGAATTGGTGGATGCCGTCAAGGCATGATTAATTATTGGATCTGATTCGAAAAGTACATAATACTACACACTCGTCATTTTTCTAACTATTGACTTGCCATGACCATTCATTATACCACTCGTCGTCAATGGAATGCAAAAAGAGTACCTATATAACTACTGCTGTCAACAATGTCCAAGCGGTAAGGTAGCTATTGAGAAAATTTTGTAATGCCGTAAATTAAATGTTTCAGTTAATGATTTAAAGATTATTATTCATGACAAAGGGCTATTATATCTATCAATTGCTTAGATAAAGAGTTTCTTCTTGTTGACTATAAGAGAGAGTATTCTTCTTAGTTCAAAAATTGTAAAAAAAAAAAAAAGATAAAAATTGAGTGTTTAGTAACTATATAATTTTTTCTTATTTGTGAGTTCACATACTATCGTAAGGGTATGGTTATAATATTATTCACCCTCAGGTTATACATAAAAATAATGACTAGAATATAAAGCATCTACATTTCTTTTGGCTCTTTCGAATAGTTAATTAATAATTTATTCATTTGTTTCTTTATTTCATGTCTAAAAAAAACATAACATATCTATATAAAAACAAACATAGCATATCTATTATATTCAAAAATATGAACCTAAATATCTAGACACATGAAGACATTATAACTTGCGCAAGTCCTTTGAATTAATTTCTCGAGAATTGGGATCATGTCCCTTTATTTTTAATCCTTCGGGAATTTCATATAAACGTCATTATTAAATATCAAATATTAAGTGATCACTATAATCAAGAGACGCATTTCTTATCTTCATTTACTACCAGATTAGTAAATAACAGAAGATTTTCCTTTTCATCCACCACAAGATAAACCAGACTTTGGGAAAAACTAGTGCAACAAAGAGGTTGCTCGATAATCTTTTGCACAATCACCCGCCAAAATCTAGCCGGTATATCACTTGCCAAACTTCTAGTTCGCAAGCAATTTCAATTCTAAGTACACATTATTAAGTGTATATTGCGTCTTTTCATTTATTATAGCCAATAAGTTTAATGTTTGCATCCACAACGGACTTTTACTTCATGATCCTCATTGTCAGTCATTTTACTAATTGTTCCAGCATAAACAAATTTCATGTTGACATTTTATTGATGATCGATTCTATGTTCTTTGGTAATGAGATCTCACAATCATTAAGTTCCCCAAGTATTCATGCACTTCTTCTGGAAGTTAATTCACCGTAGTGGGAAACTATTTCAGTTCAAAATTCTTATGAATTATAATCACTCGTATTTACAATCTCTATAGATTTAAAAATTTGTCATTTACGAGGATTTTTATTATTTGGAACCGACTCATCAAATGGACATTCAAGTAAAGAATAGTGGTAGATAGTCCTTTAGGGACACATTATCAAATTCTAACTTTTAACAGCCTTTTTTACAAATATATTTATACATTCGGTCAGGTAAACATCTGGTCTTAAACATTATCTCTTGAACTTCAGGTTCATATCATCGAGGATCATAATGAGATAATTACATTGTCCATCTGATTTTATAAATAGGATGTTTTAACTTCTCCCCCTGATGTTGGGATAACTAACTCGCTAAAATAACGATTAACCAACCGAGCAGTTAATAATCTCCCTTTTGAGAGTAACTAACTCGTCAAACTAATACGATCAGTTCATCGAGTAGTTAATCCAACATCAATATTTCAAAAACTAGCTATTCAATATTCAACATATATTTCTAACCTCTTCTGGAGGCTCCATTTTTTTGTGCATTGTGGTGGAGTGATTATAATATAATATGCACATATAATATTCGAAGATGGATATGTATAGTTTCTGACAAAAAACTAATGTTGGGGAGAATATCTGCAATGACCTGTTTGGTCTTATGTATATGATTGATGTCTTTTGTGTTTCAACATATCCTTAATTGTATATGAGGCATTTATTGCTCTTACGTAATGATTTTAATTATCTGAACACGTTTAGTGAACGATTCTGCTGGACCGTTCGTTAACTCCATAAAAAATTTACAAACTTCAGGTTTGCAAATTAATAATAACCATACATGTAGCTATCTCGTAAGCACACCAGTCAATACCCTTACTATCATATAATTCTACAACATGGGTAAATAAACCCACTGGCGTTATCATGTATGCTTTATACAGTGTCAGATATTTAGTCAAAATTTTTATGTAATAGTGTGGCAATTACTTCACACAAACACAAAAGTATTTACGAATTCATTAGATAGAAGAATCGTCTAGCTCTTCATAGTAGTCATAAATTCTTTGACCTTTTATAGATTATAATAAAATCGGGATGGCAAACCAGTTTTCTCAAAAACTGAAATCAATATAGTAAACTTCTGGTTTACTTTATCATCTATAATTCACACTCTAATATGAGTGTTTAACTCACAACAATAAATTTTGCGTGAGATTTCCATCTAGAAAATAGATATCCGATATTACTTTCTGACATTCAAAAAAAACTTTTCTCGAACACCTTTGACATTGGTGCAAAATTTTATTTGCTCAAGGCATATTTTATTTACTCTTCTAGAGCCAATTTAGAACTCCACTTTTGGAGACAATAATGAACTATTCAACTATGCCATGTCAAGTCTTCTCTATAGGAGCATTTACTTTAATGAAACTGTTATACTCTACAGGAGCATTAGTTTATGCAATTATATTATCATTCAACCTCTATTATTGCTCTACAGGAGCACACATATAATCGTATTGAGGTATTCAGTATGCTCTACGAGACATTTCATCTAACCCGATGGAAGAATTTAATTACACGTGCTCTTCAGGAGCATATTATCAATTTTATTCCAACATTACAGTAATGGCAAAATCAGCTTCAGGTGAAGTGAAAATCCCAAATAAATGGGTTTTGTCATTTTTTTTTCTTTCAACAAAACCATAAGAGTATATTTAAGATAAATTATAATAAACTGCTATTTCAGGAGCAATTCCAAGTCCACCGACTTTCAAACTTCATGCAATCAATAAAAATGTTTTAATGATATCAATATAAAACATGCTCTAATTGAATCTATTTTATTTTATTTTATTTGCCTATGATTTTTTCATCAAAATAAATCTTAATCTGAAAAGTATGCAAAATCGAAAAATTCAACTTTAATCATCTGGGGCATAAAATGCTTCACGTTATGAAACATAGGCAAACATAAGTAAATAAAAAAAAAAAAAAAACAAAATTGCTTCAAACAATTTTTTTTTCCCGAACACACATAGGCACACATGGGCACAATTTGGGGTACAAAATGAAAACCACACGCACAAGCGCACTAGTGCTTTTTAGTTTAATATTTTAAACGAGCAAAATAATAAATAAAAAAATCAAGGATATTTTGATTGATATTAAACAAATATGAGGTGTTAACAATGGAAAACTCTTGCCAATTCCCTAAGAGGAACCAAATTAGTTCATGAAGCATCCAAGCACAAAATTAGTTCAATATACCCTAAAGGAAAGTAATGATCAGAACAATATATGGAATTCAACAACCTCACGTCATTCACAACTAAATTCAGTATATCCAATCCCTAATTCCCTCGTAAAATCTTCAACATTAAATAATACTTCCCACGTCCCTCTACCAATCTATTAATTGGTTCATCATTGAAACACATAAGGTAGGATAATGATATAAAAGGGTAGAGAGGAATTCACTTGATAAGAAGATGGGAACGTCTCTCCTTCGAGCTCAGGAGTCGTCGGAAGGAAGCTCCGGAATATTTTCAGTCATAAAAACTAATTATTTATTGAAGGCTTCAAAATTTTAGTATTAATACACATCAACTTCAGACAGTAGTATTATAAAACTTTTTGGCTAGAACTTCGTGCTAATAACGTATTATAAAATTAATACTAGACTACTAATATAAAACTAAGCATAAGAACAAGAGAGACATAAGAGAGTAGAGAGAGATAAGAGACTTGTATTCAGATGTATTTTGAAGCATGAATGAGCTCCCTATTTATACAAGAAGTAGGGGATCAAACTGTAGGAAATGAATCACTTATCATTAATGCTAAATATTATAGAATCATATCTTCTTGATTATGAATAGAATAATACATATTAATTATGGACATTCAATCAAATCAAATCAAATATTTCATAACAATTTTCATTTTCTTCTCTCCTTGAAATTTGTAGCGGTGGCAGATTTTCCATATGAGTATAAATGAAAAACGACACATTCTCATTGGTTTTCAGTCTTTTAGTTGTTTTTTATCCATAACCAACTTAATAAAAATCGTCAAGAACATCTACCATGGACTTTTCGTCAAGAAAATACTGTTACTCATACTTTTGCTAAATTTACTAAACATTCTGATATAATTGAAACTTTGTGGAGTAGTCCACCTAACTTTGTATCTCAATTGGCGTTGGACCCATTTCAGTGATTTTAATGAAATTTAGATTTCTTCAAAAAAAAAAAGAAATAATAAAAGTCGGGTTAAGATAAGAAATTCCGTATAATGAAACAGGTCAAGTTCAAATTGATATAAAAAGTAAACATATTAAGGGAAAGTTTTTTTTTTTAAGAGAAACTGTAAATATATATTACTATCACCAAAAAACCTCACATATGTACAACATATACACCGAAATCAAAACACACAAGTTCTAGCACTACACCTGAACCATAGTTCCAGCAAAATCAAAACCTCACATATG